CGTCTACACAAACAAGCCTCTATTGTGGCAACCGACACACGACTTATAGCTAAACTTAACCTACTTACAAACTAAGGAAGGAGAAATAAAATATAGATAGGGATAGTAGTAGAATAAAGGAGAAAATACCCGGGAGTTTTCTGCCACGTGGTCTCGGATGATTCACCGTCTTGAAATTCTTAATGACTGCAGACCTTATTTTCTTTCCTCTTATGAACGTCTACGTTTTCTGAAGTTGTCTTGTGGTCTTCCCGCTTGCCGTTACTTGAACATGGGGGAACTCGATTTCTTTAGCAATTGCCCTACGTTCCTCTATAATTCAGCCGTCTTACAAGGTTCCGATACCTCTGATCTCTCACTATGCGATCAGGGTATGATCCTTCTTCGGTTTTCTATCGCAAAGTTTCTTACTTCTTGCTCGACCCCTCGGTCAGGACCACACTCGTTTTCTTCCTCTCTCGACGAAATCGCAGCCACTTCTCCTTTCTTTCACTTCGCCTCCTCCCAGGGGGTTATTGCTCCTTTTATCTTCTTGACATTGTTTCACAGAATCGGTGATGTCACCCGAGGGAATAGGGATTAAGGGAGAAAGTTCTAGAACAGTTAAGACAAAAGAACAGAGGAGATACTAAGCCTAACTAAAATTAACAAAAATATATATAAAACTATGGCCGACGGCCACAATAGTTTTGATCCTAAATTTTTTATAATGATACAAAATAATTATTAATGCTGAAGTTCATTTCAGTATGGTAACCAAGATCTTTCACGTTGATTTCAGAAATGTTTTAGACCAGTAATCGGCAACTCGGTGCCCGTGGCGTATTCAGATTCGCCCTCTAGAACCATAGTCACGCAAATATATACAGTACTGTATACTTGTAATTTTATTAATTTGATTTTGTATTATTTTAGGTACATACTTTTAATTTTCAGTTTTTAGTTATTACATGCATGTATAATCTTTATTTTGTATAAATATACCGTATTTTCGCGAAATGACTGGCATCCTGGTCTATCCAGGGTGACCATAAAATCAGATATTTCCAAATGATAAACATATTAAATTTAAGAAATTCGCCGTAAATTATCTCAGCTTACACCGATTAACATCGGCTTTGTGTGAAATTTGAGAGGAAGGTGTTATTTTTAAGGTCGAGGTAGATGATCAGTGTAGTCTACACTGACTACTTCTACTACTATCAATAAGTCGTTAATTGTTTAAACGAAAACTCTTACTGATTTTAAATCAGTCAAATTACAATGTTATTATTTTATTGTAGCCTACTCGGAAGAATGTTTTCTTTAACGTTTAATTAACAACTAGTTTTGTTAGATCTGATTAATTTTATATTTTAGTCACAGTTTAACCGGAGTTTCCGGCATGCTGGTCTCTCCCCTTTTTTTACGGCATGCCGATCATTCCACGAAAATACGGTATACAGTTATTTTGTTTATTTATTACAATATCGCAATTTTTTTTCAAAAATGAAACTATGTGCCCTCAATGGTTTTTAAAATTTTTATTACGCCCTTAGTAACAAAAAGGTTGCCAACCCCTGTTTTAGACAATGAAAACATTGGTTTCTCCGGTCGAAAAACTTTTTTCTCATTTTTAGCTCTTTCTGCCCTGTGGGCACTCTGAAGCATCTTACCATTGATTTTTGAACACGTCAAATTCGCTAGGAATAATGTGAATTGTTTTGCAGCTTTCGATGATCCGATTTGTACATTGGCAATTAAAATAGCAAAAGTTCATAGATTTTAAATGTTCTTATAAGAAAAGTTTAGAGGATTTAAATTGAGATAGCATGCAGGCCAAGTTACCAGTCCTTCTCATCTAATCCATCTATTCGGATACTCATTATCAATGTGCTATCCTTCTTCGCGATTAAAATATGCTGGACCGCTGCTATGCATGAAAAATATTCGTAATCAAATAATTACCGATTATTCTTAATTAAATGTTCTAACTAAACTGCTGCTGATACTGAGATTAGATGCTAACGTATAGATTTTCCTGAGCCCGTAGATAATTGTTGGATAAATTCACAATTGCATTTCGAGTGAATATCACTTCATCCGTGAAAGCACATTCCTAAGAAACCAAGGATATTGTTGAATTAACTGAAATTGAATTAAATACTCTTTCGCAGACACCATTGAAAAATATTGTACATGCAAAGGAAAATCGCATGAATCAAGGGCCTACACTCATTCTAAATGATATAGATACAATTTGTATTAACAAAGAATAAACTAAATACTTTTATTTTACTTTGCATTTTCGGTTTATTTTTCATCTAAATGATAATTACATTGTTAATTATTGTTCTATAATTTATAATGGATATGCATTTCGGGCTTTATGCCTCTTCAGTCCTTATTTTATTAAGTATATCGGTAAAAAAACTATATAAGCAGTGCCGGCCCGAGGCAAGTTTTAGGATGGAGCAAAATCCTATTATGGCGCCTCTCTTCGTTGCCCCTAATTTATACCCTTTAATTTTCTTAATCACTGAAGCGCCCCTAGGACTTAGCGCCTGGAGCGGCTGCTCCGTTTGCCCTATGATAGGGCCGGCTCTATATATAAGTACTGTAATTAATTAAAATGGACTCTTCTATTTTGGTAATAATATCTGCCAGATCTCAGTGATGACAACGCAAGTGTTTAAATTCATTCTATGAATTTCGTTCATTTTCATAATTTCAATATGTTTAAAAAATTTTCTTTTAATTAATAATATATATATATATACAGTATATATATATATATATATATATTAAGTTTTGAAGCTGTCAAGTGAAATCTCGCAGCCGGCATGATACTTCACAGCTCTTATATGATCTTATTCGAACTTTTAACATTCTATCCGTTTCACTATGTAATAGTATTTTGATTGACACGTACAAGTGAAGCTGTAAACCAAATTACTATATAACAAAACATCTATATTACTATTAAATTATCATATCTTTGTACAGTGATATCTAAAAAATTTAACTTACCATCAGTTTCATTTTCTATTTCAAAGTATATATTGTTCTGAATATTATTGGCGTATTAAAGCATAATTTGGGGGTCGATTAATTTCATGTTATAAACAACAATAATTCCGAAGGACATACAACTAATTGTGAGAACAGCAAGCAATCAAGTGCTAAGTTACAGTACAGTTAGACTAAAAATATTAAAAAGGTAAGATGTCCGGTTAAAAAATTATCATGGTTATATTACGATATACAAACACTTATTTTCTTTCTTCAGCTTAAACATATAATAATAACAAAACATTTATGGATAGTTGTTTACTTTTGCATTTATAGAACTAATTTATTTATTTCTTTGTTTTCGGAAATGTTGCGTTCTACAATTTACAACAAAAAAGTGGTCTGATTGTAATTAGCCAATAATGGTATCATTGTATGAGATATATTTAACAAAAATAATAGATTTGTACAATACCTTTCTACAGTATTTGTACAGTACCTTTCTACAGACGGCCGGATGGCCGAGCGGTCAAGGTGGCAGCCTACCGCTCTGGGGGACCCGGGATCCGGACGGGTCAAATAATCCCCAGAATTTTTTCGAGGGGTGGTCTGTCTGGATATGTCGGGCCCGCCCCTCACCACCCGGTCGCCCCATTGTAGGCCTGGCCGTACCCATAATGGGCTTGCAAAAAGAGGCCCTCTTAGTGCCCACAGGGCGGAAAGAGTTAAAAAAAAGTACTTTTCTACAATAATAAATAATAGATTTGAAATTTTTGTATCTTCGTTACTTTTGTTCAACTACTGTATTTTACGGCATATAAGATGCAACTTTTGTCTAAAGAAGTCTTAAAAATCTCTTGCATTTTATATGGGCAGTTGCGACCCCTAGGTCTCAACTTCGCATGTAAAATCCCCGAACAGACAAGGGTCCTCTACCTAGCCAAACTCTTAAATAAAAAAAAATGCCATTGTTTAATTAAATTTATTGTTATTATTACTTTTCAATCCAGAATACAGTAAAAAAAAGGCCCTGTCAAAGACACGGGATGGCTTAAATACACTAAATAGTTTTCTCAAATATTCTGCATTGAAATAGGGTCGTGTCTTACATGTTAAAAATACAGTAATAATTTTTATTTTGCTTATAAATTGTTTTGTAGATTAATTTTAAAAAATATAATAATATTAATAATTCTTCAATATAATTTATATTATTCTCAAATATTAGGCTATCTTCAATGAGTTCATTATCCTTTTTTTTTTTTTTTTTTGGTATTTTTTTTTAAGAAGTACGAAATTGGCAACACTTAATCTATTGTAAACAACAGTGAAGAAATGGCGATACAGAAGCAGAAGGTGGAAAGTTTCTGGTTTAAATATACTTTATCTGCGGTTGCTGCTGCTGTGGCGGAAACCAGTGAGTAAAATATATTAATTTTCGATATATATTTATTTATTTAAAGCAAAAAAATATATACATTGTAAGAGATTACTCTGTATTAGAAGTTATTTTCTCTATGTTTGGGAAATCAGCTGATGCTGTTGAGCTTGCTTCTCTGTATATAATGATCATAAAATAAAAATATATGAAATATATATTGTCGTCTTCTGTATTTTAAATTAGTTATGTCTGTTATAAAAAGTTATAATTTATGGATTTCTACAAAATATAAGAATATAGCAAGAAGTTTGAAATTCAAAAATGTCCTTTACATTTTTTGGCCTTGAACCCCTTTACTTAACATTGTTCTATTAATAAGTTTGGCCTAGTAACAATTCAGAATTAAGAAATGTTAAACAAACAAGCAAGGATTTAATATGAGTATATTTAACTATTCAAAACACATTAATCCTGATTTAAAATAATTCCAATCAGGCTTTCAAAACATATTACATGTTTGTTTTATTATTTTATTCTTCTTTCTGATTTAAATATAAATAGAGCCATTGAAGTCTACAATAAAGATACTGTTTATAAAATGCATTTCAATAGACTTTCATTTTTTATTCAAAACTTAAATAACAGTCTCTCATCTGGACAAAATGATAGACTGGAAAAAATGGAGACCTACATATATAATGTTAATTTTTCCCTTATTCTTCATTGTCACAATGTTTGCTCTGTATTTTAACTGAAAGAAAAATGTTATCTCACATCAATCACTTTACTCACAATAGAGGGTGGTAAATTGAAAATGATTTTCATGTAATAAAAATAAAAGAACATAAAATTTAACAGTTAAACCTTTTGACTACAGCTAACTAGTTTTTATTGTGATTTTTGGCTACTTTTTGTCTTCAGATTTACAAAATACAGTACAGTAGACCCCCCCTATAACGCTTAGATACGTTCCACGCTAATCGAATTTTACATTGTAGGAATGATTAAATACATGAGCCAATCGCAGCCCAATAGGTGGGAACTTTACGGAATAAGGCTGTTCGAAAGGTTTTCTTCTATAAAATTAACCGATTCTAGACTAATTCCACTCAACATTTCCAAAACACGTATAATTTTTTGGGAGTAATCCGTATAAACTATGCTATAAACAAAAAATTATAGGATTACTTACCGAGTGTGTACCGTTCGACTACGCCGTTGCTTAAAGCTGGTTTTCGTCGCGGAACAGCACATGAAACGGCGGCCGCGATTTCTAATAACGAATTTTTCGCAGAAAAATAACTTGACCTTTGGAGACATCATTAATATAAATAATTTTTATGGCCGTTGAATAAGAAGTGTTTCTTTCACAAGAAATGTATAAAATTAGTGCTGTATTAGACTTACGGTACCTAATTTACATACTGTACAGACGATAATAAACTCAACTTACTAGCCTAAAATCTCCGTAGCGTGTTGCCAGGCGGCAGAAAGCATATATATAATTATAATAAAGTTACAATAAATTAAGTTAATATATAATTATATATACAGTACCTAATTTATATATAATTAATATATAATTATATGTACAGTACCTAATTTATATATAATTTATATATAATACTAAACAGACGATAGCAAACTCAATTTAGCCGCTCCGTAGCGTGGCGCAGGGTCGGAGGAAAGTAGTTCGGCTGCTCATCCACTATTGGTCCAGATTCTATCAATCTTGTCGCGAAACGACGTTATAAGAGGTATTTTATACGAATGTTGCTACAATTTTTTTGCTACGTTATAGGAATTGTCGTTATAGGAACGCACGTTATAGGGGGGTCAACTGTACTTTATTGGTGATATTTCCTTTTAAAGCCTGGCAACACTGATAAAAATTAGCACCTATAGAGTAGTTTCTATCTAGTGATCTGTCTAGAACTGAAACTTTTGGCATAGGGAATTTTTAGTCCACTTGAGGAGTGGACTAAAAATTTTAGACAGTTGCAAAAATTTGGAAAAACTAAATTTATGCATATGATATATAAAGGAGTTATATATTTCTTAATATGATATATAATGAGTTACATATTTCTTAATAATAATTTGTTAATGTTTGATAAGTTGAAACTGTATGAAAAATGTAAATTTTAGTTTATGCCCATTCAGAGGTTTGTTTTGCATCATATAATAGAGAAATTGCAGCCGACATTTTCATTGCAAAAACGTGTATGTTGGATGTTCAGCGCCATCTTTCTGTATGCCTAGAAATTTGATAATGGTGTTTGGAACATTGAACACAATTCCACTGACGTTCCAAATGCCATTGTCAAATTTCTAGGCATAAGGAAGGCAGCACTGAATGTCCAACGTACACATTTTTGTGATGAAAACGTCGGCCGCAACCTCTCTATTATAAGGAGAGTCGTAAAAACTTTATTGTAAAATGAGGTCTAAAAATGTTTTTGTTGTAAGAAGGGATGCAGATAAAAGTTTACAAGATTCTGACATAAGGCAACCTTGCTAATATTTCTACGGATAAAGGATGTAAGTATAAAGGATTGAGATGGATGTTTTTATGATAGTTTTAAGTGAAATACGATAATTTCAAGGGGTAGATAGATGATTTTTTCCTGTAAGTTTGGCAATCTGCATTGTCTTGAGATAGGAGAGATCATGTCTGGACAAGTGAGAAAAGTCAACCTTTTTCCGTAAGAGAATCAACAAATTATAAATGACAAAAATTTATAATTTCACTAATATTATCTTCAATTGCAAGAAAAGACTCAATATATTTAGTATTCTTACCAAAAGAAAATAGAACAAATTTCAGTATTCTTAACCATTTTTAATTAAAATGTAGATTAAATGAATGTTGGTGTGCAGGCTCCATATTGTTTAGTATTACAGAAAGCCATCATACAAACCTATCACTGGAAAATACAAGATAAACAATAAAAACATTGACATAAATTTCCCATGCCGATTGTTTTCCCATATCAGTTGTTTTATCTCTCAAGTCCTGCCAAAAACAATAGATTGAGAATCCACTGTATATATAGAGTGGATATATATGTGGATAATTTTTCTCTTCATTTTTTTCCACTCTGTCATTTTGTCCATTTTTTTCCACTCTGTCATTTTGTCCATATTACAGGCTGCTGTTTATGGATAAAAAAATCGGAGTCTATTGAAATGTATTTTTGTAGACAGTATCTTTTGTTGTGGACTTCAATTGCTCTATTTAAATCAGAAAGAAAAATACAATAAATCAAACATGTAATATGTTTTTAAAGCCAGAATGGAATTATTTTAAATCAGGATAAATATTTTTTGGAAGAGTTAAATGTTAATGAGATTAAGTAATGTGTAAGATACAGTTGACCCTCCTATAACACTTGATTATTCCATTTTATATGAATTCCATGTTGTACGAGTCACTAAGATTTTACAAATACGTGTGCCGGGCTGTAAATGGATCATGTATTTGTAAAATCTAAGTGACTCATACAACATGGAATTCATATAAAATGGAATAATCAACAGTGTTATAGGGGAGTCGACTGTACAGAAGAATTTAATATTCTAATTATGCTTTTTTATTTCCATGATTGTAACTGAAATACAAATTGATATTTAAGTCATTTTATAAGATTTATCTCAATATCTTTAAGAACTATAAACGATACAAAATTTAGAAAATTAAGAAGTATGAAATCAATGTTTACAAAATTATTTAATTACATCATTTTATACATGAAGATGGTATTTTTGCCTATTTCTTTAGTTTAACTTTATATAGAACTAGCTGCAAGGACCCGCTTCGCTGAGTTTTTATTTGTGGGCAAAAAGTAACGATAGTGAAGATTAAGATAATTACATTATAGACAATCTTGCCCGTTTTCACAGAATGCAAGAATTAGGTCCCCCGTTTCCAAACTAATTAGAGACCTGGTCCTGATTCTATTTCTGAACGCTCCTGTTCACGTCCAGTCAAACGAACTATTTTCAACGTTTCTGGAACATTTACAATCGTTCTATAATCGAACCAATATTCGAATTTTATGTTCGAATTTAATTCGAATATTGTTCGAATTAAATTCGAACAAATTCAAACATAACATTTGAAATAGAAAACCACTTTCAACCACTTTCAGTTCCATATCTCCCGCACCCTTATAGCTATCGAGACGCAACCCCCCTGCTGCACGAATGGAGACTTGGGGTTACTACCACATACAAACACCATTCACGTGCGATGTGTAGTTTTGGCTGAAAAGTGAAATATAGGGACACACACGTCCATTTATATATATAGATATTCAATTTTATATTGCATGAATAAATGCATTCAATTTGTTAATAAATTAAAAATAAGTTTAATATATAAATAAAAATTTTCTAAACTGCTTTTACGCTATGATACATTACTACAATACACGTAAACAAACATCCGAAATATTATTTACAAATAGGATTATTTATTGATTGAATGATATTATTATTCATGTTTTTTTTTGAGATTGGGATGAGTGATAGTATTAGTGGGAGTTGAGCCACTCTCACATATACATATACATCTTAAACATCATTTACAAATAATATTACTGATTAAATTCTTCATTTGATTATGTTCATTGGGTTTTGGGGTGAAGAGAATGGTGGTATGGAATAACTCCTCTAAAAACATTAAAATGCATTGTCATTGGGCTTAGGTATGATACATAACAAGTTAAATAAGTATTTAATAATAATAATAATAATTTTAAATACATAAATAATCATAGATAGTATTTATTAAATTTGAAATAGAATATACAGATATAAACATCTACCAAAACCCTGATACTTAGCAAATAGACACCCACGATTGCTGTAAATAATCTGGTGCCAAATTTATTTGTAATTCATAATTAATATTTCCAAATTATAGCCAAATTATTTACTGCAATTGTGGGTGTCTATTTGAAATAGAATATTTATTATCATTCTCACTTAAACTTATAAACTTTTCAGCAATATATCATCAGATGCAAATGCAATTATAGAATGTATATAATTTGAACTGCAATTGTTATGTTATTTATAAGATAATTTTAAATTTATTGTTTTTGAATGTAAATCTATGATTTTGGAAGTAAAGATTTAAACTCAAAAACCATTATCCAAATTGAATATACTAAAAGAAATAACAGAATTGAATAAAAAAAACAGTTTTATGATACTCTTAACAATGAACCCGTGTTCTAGCAAAAAGAAAAGGTAACTTTTTATGAAGGTTCTTTACCAAAAATGTAGGTAAATCAAGGTCAGATCAAGGCTCTTGTCCTTTTGCAATTGTTAATGACCTAGTAATAAGTGTTTGAATTACAGTCTGCTTGAAAAAAAGCCCATTGATTTCATCCCATTAGATTTGAAAAATATGACACCTGTTTTTGTACCACATCAAAAGAAAAATTAGAAGCTATGGTGCATATAGTTTTACTTTCCCAGCTCTGTTATATATAACAGAGGAAAAGTATGGTGATCAGTCCAAAAATAACCCCTCAAGATTTTTATATTCTTGGACTCAGGTTCTTGAAATGTCAAGAAATGCAAGAAAATTCAGGGGATATTTTTTCTGTACATGTGTTTTTTTTTTGTTTTGAAAATTCTGAAATTTTGCAGGGATTTGTGGTATGGATCAGTTTGTCCCCTTAAAATTTGACCCGCAGTTCTGAGATAAAAGCAGCTAAGACTGTGTTGGGTTTATTGTCAAACACAAAACACTGAAAAGAGTATACAAGAAGATTGCAAGAAGCATAAAGACATGAATTGCCTACAGCAGAAATCCACCATGTACAAATTATTAATGACAAGTTAACAGTTATGTGCACTGGGAATATACTGCATCTTTATTAGGAATGATAGATTTAAATTGGATTTGGAATATGTTGGGACCATGAACTGCTCATTAGCTACCAGATTAAAAGAACCTTGATACATGATAGAACACAATAAACCAGATAAGACCTTAGCTATTTTTGCCTCAGAACTGGGGTCAAGGTCAACCTTAAAGGTGCTAAACTGATTCTTACCACTCACAGTGTGGTCCAAATAAGTAGTCTGGAAATACTTAAAATCTTTAAATCAGCCAAACAGTTTTTATCTCAACAGTGTAGAAGAAATTTTATGGCTCTGGACCCTTTACAATGACATCCCTCTCATTAAAACATGAGCATTTACTCATAATATTTATTTTTATTTACATTTTGTATATTTATATATTTCTCTTGATCATCTAGTGGTGTGTATTTATATCTATTTATATATTTATCCCATCTTTAATGTGTTATTTGAATGGAACATTATTTTAAAATAACAAGTTGAATTACAAGATGAAGAGACTATATAAAGAAGATTGTTAAAAAAATTTCATCATTTTGTAATTCATCTTGTAATTTGAACTGTAATATTTATATTCAAAATTTATGTTTTGAATTTATTTCTTTTGGTATGTTGTGCATAGGATGTTATTTAAATGTGAAATTTTTGAACCTTGACCCATTCTTGAATATATGTTAACAATCTATATATTAATTGAAAGAGGGTTTCAGTTTTCACACAGTGCATTTTGGCCTCAAAACTCTACTAATCTAAATAACTTAATGAAACCCAATATTTAGCCCAATGTCATACAGCAGTGGTTGTTGCTGTATTACTCTACAAATCATCATAATTCCCAGTACTTTCTTCAGAAATATTAAAAAGTTCAGTTTTATTTTGATTGGTAAGATATTGAGTAGATTTTATTCATGAAATGATTCATCTGTTTTATATCTATGATAGCATTATCTAAAAAGAAGTTGGAGGCATGATTTAAACAATGTAAAATTTAATGGAAACATTTTTGGAAGTCTAATGCTCACTCCAGATTTAGAACTAAGCATGAAATTTGCATTATCAGTGTTGTTTGCATGATATTTCTTGCATTCAACAAAACGCAACTAAAGTTTTACAGTAGAGCCTCGAAAACTCGGCACTCGATAACCCGGCACTCCAGATAACTCGGCCACACCCTGGCAGGGCAAAAAAAATTCTTAATTAATTTTCATTATAGACAGCTTTATAAAAGTATAAAAGCTCTCATAAAGTATTATTCTGAGGTCTGTCTTATCGGGTAAATTACTGTACACAGTGTATTCATTAATTTTCATTTTCATGTAGTAAAGGCTCTATGCCTTCATAAAGAATGTACTTTTCCTTTGTTTAAGGGTATTTAGGCAGTTTATTCTCTGTTGTATTCTCAAGTAAACAATACATACAAGTAGAGTACAGTATTTTCTGAGGAAACACTCATACTTATTTTTTTTAACCCCATTCCCGATAACCCGGCATTTTCACAAACTCAGCCACCCTTCGGTCCACATTAGGCCGAGTTTTCGAGACTCTACTGTATTAAAATATTTAATACCAAATCCAACATCTCATAAATTTTTTTTAACAATCTCCTTTACATAGTCTCTTTATCTTGTAATTCAAACTCAACTAAATCAAGAAAAATCATAAGTGATAGATTGAAATCTTCAATTTAAATTTTTTTAATTTTTAAAATTTACAAAGTTAAAAAACAAATCTTTAAATTTTTTTGATCGTTTTAGTAAATATTTCGTTTTTAATTTCTCTTGTAGTGTGTCTAACTATTTTAACAGCTGTTTTATAAGAAGTCTCACTTCCATATTCATCCCATTTTTAATTGCAATTCAATTTCATCTATAATATCAGAAAATGGCCTACATTCTTTTTGCTACACTGTAAATTGTATTGAGACTTAATATATTTTTGATTTATTTTGCCTATACATTTTGTAATTACATCCTTAGCACAGTCTTTCAGTTGTTCCACATACACAGTAAAGTCTATAAGTTCTGGGACCAATTTTTTACAGCCATATTAATAGTGATGTCTAGTTATTAACATCTGAACTATGTTCTCATAATTGTCATCAAAGTCTACAAATAATTTGAATTGCCAATGGTTATCTGATATTGAGTATATTAATTATTGGTATTTTGTGAAATATGTTTTTTGAGTACTCATTATGGATTTGAAAGAACAACATGTTGGAATCAAATTTTGTTTTAGAGCCAGTTTATCACAATTTCAGCAATGTGAAAAATAAGATTCATTTATTCATTTGGCTTACAGAAGTTTATTATACAGGAATTAAATTTCATTAAATAGGGATATTTTTCAATATAAAACAGATGTATTTTCAGCCTTCCATAGAAAAATTTGCTGGAGGGAGAGAGATTCATAATATAGAGCAGTGTTTCCCAACCTTTTTTGTGCTATGCTCCACCTAAACCTTTCTAAAATTCTTATGCCCCCCTAACATATATAGTGGCTATACAGTTAACTTAAAAACAATCCACGAAAAACCTTTTTTTACGAGTGTTTTGTCACAATATTCAATGCAGTGTTAAGTTGTTGGAAGTCGTTTATCTTAGTTAACTTAAACTCTGGACGAGTCCATTTTCGAATTGCTCCCTTAACAGTCCAATTGCTCCCATGTGGGGCGTGGGCCCCACGTTGGGAAACACTGATATAGCTTTATAATATGAATGTTCAACTGTAATTAAAAAATTTATCTTATATGACTCATTTTAAAAATATTATATTTGAAAGTACAAATTTCATGATAGTTATATAAATATTCAAAAATGCTAACTTGGACAGGAAATATTTTTATTGAATTGAATGTGTTTTATTGTTATAATTAATTGTGAACTGACAAGTAAGATTAAACAGTAAACAAGTCTTTAAAGATTATCAATTTTAATTGAATATTTCACGTATTAAATTTTATTTTTTTAATTAATTAAAAGTACTATTTATTATTTCAGCTACATATCCATTAGATATTACCAAAACCAGATTACAGATTCAAGGAGAAAAGCTAGTATTTGCTGTGAGAAATGGCTTATCTAAAGAGGGTAACACACAAGCAAGGGGGATGATTGAGACAGTTATTGGGATTGGTAAGCAAGTAATGTTGGTAAGCATATATTAATAATTGAATTAACAAATTTAATATGCATTAAATTGTCATCATAAATTATTATTCTGTAAGTATTTAAAAATAATCAATTATCAATTTAACATTTTTTGTTAATTTTAAAAAGTTCATTAATTTAATATTTGACAAAAAGTATTCTGCAAACATGGAAAAAAGCAATATGATCCAGATGGTCCATTACAGGAAAAATCAAACATAGAAAAGCAGAGAACTTATTAAGGAAAATATATATGCTACATTTAAAAATCATATTTGTTTTTTCTATAATCAGAAATATTTTTGAATTTGATAAGTATAAAGCAGCAACTTCATATCACAGTCAGCAGCATAGGATTTGTCTATATGGATTGCATATTATGCATTTAACTATAACCACTATTTGTGCTTTTTTTTTATGTGGAAAAGAACAAATATGATTTTTCCTTGTTTTCTACTTTTTTATGATTGATTTCCCCCATATCAAATGATAATATAGGGAAAATATTAATCAATTTGGATTATATTGTCTTTTTTTTTCCTATGTTTTTACAGTGTGTTTAAATAATCCCTGTTCTTTTTCCATAAAGATAAAGTGCATAATTGACAGCAAAATTTTTCTTAAGTTAGCATTGCTAATCATTTTGTTTGTATAATTACAAGTAACAGTTTATTTCATAAGAAACTTTCATTTTTCTAGTAGAATTTACAATCTTTAAACTTACATAGGATAAAGTGAATATTAGAAATGAATCATAAAACTTTGTTTTTTATATTGAAAACAATGCAAATTTATGTAAACTGATAAAGGAATTATTATACAATGAAAATTTAATACTTTTTCTTAGTTTCTGAAACATTCTATATATACAGATTTAGCTAAAAGATAAACATTCTTAAAATTTGACAGAATTAGAAAGTACTTGTTTGTATTTGAGAAATATAATTTTAATGCTAATCTGTCTGTGTTGGAATAATATGAAAATTAACTATATTTATTTTAACAATAGTAAAAATTTTTAATTAGTATAATAATCTTAACTTATTTAAAAACTATCTTCAGATAATAGAACTCAAATAACATTGAATATTAGAATATGAATAAAATTCAGTCAAGTCTGATTACCTAAAAGAATACTCACAGACACTTTATGTGTCTGTGGGTATTTATATCCTTCTCAAGCTTCTGAGGTGTTTTTTAATAAAAGATTTCATTAATAATATCCAAAATAAAATTGTAATTACAATATTAACAGAAAAGTTATATTAAAAATTTTTATTATTATAATTTAGTAAAAATTTCTATACAAATCTCTCATATTTATGAATTCTCATTTATATATTTGTTAATGTCACATGATTCCAAATACTCAGTATGGCTAATTCTTATATTTCTCATTTTAATTAAATAATCCTTTTTTATTGCTCCATTATAAAATAATATATTGCAATTTACTTTATTACAGAAGTTTTTATTTAAAATATGTAATTTTTACTTTAAACATTTTTTGAAATTTTCCTCATTACCATATACTGTCGTAACGTATAAACTTAAACACTTAACTTACTTTTCAATAACTTTAAAAATGTTTATTAAGAATGCATTATTATATTAATGCTTACAAGTTTAAATTTAAAATTCAAGCTTAAATCTCAATATTTACAGTTAAAAATTTAGGAGTTAAAAAAGCAAAATTAAATTAGCATAAGACCTAAACTAACAGATTATTAACACCATAATAGTGATATTAATCAGAAAATTAAACAATATAATTAGGTCTTAAGTACTGTACAAGACGGTGATAGGCCACCATCTTATACTAATTATTTTATTACTAATTATATTATTAGTTTAGATCTTTAGTTGGTTTACATTTATTTCTGAAAATTCAATATTTTAAAATATTTACATTCTTAAACATGTATTGTCATGAGATTATGAAAGGTTTCTCAAAACACAACAAAATTTATTGAACAGTTAATAACAATAAAATTAAATAAATAGGTTTCAAAAACTTAAATGTCAAAAACAAGAAAAACTAAAATGCATCTTTATGATGATGATCAATAAATTGGCAAAATTGCAGGTAGCCAGTGGCATCATGCTTTTTGCATGCTAACTTTGTGTTGCAATTCAGTCAAATTAGTTTGGTTTTGCATCTTTAACAATTCCATTTTTCCCAAGGTTCAGTGGTTTTCATATATATTTTGAACAATAATTGTTTGTACTGCCATTGCACTATAGTTAACCATTTAATGTCAAAGTTATTTCTATAAACATGCATTAAAAATGCAAGTATACAACAAGATATGCAACTGTTATAATAATGCATTTCTATACAGTTACATGTTGAATGATTAGTTTCTGGCAAGTTTCTTCTATCAAAATACATTAGATAGAACATGGACTTACTTGTAATGTAGGCTAACATTTTGGACCCCAAGATCAGTTTTATATCAGGTCCCAAATGTGTATAAATTATATAACGTATTGAACATTGTGATATAAAACAAAAACATAATAAATTCACTAAATAAAAATTTTATATAAATAAAAGATAAAACAGAAAGAATATTACTGGTAAAATTAGAAAAAAACACTCTTTCAAGTTAAACAACAAAACTTCTTAAAAAGTTAATGCTTTCTAACATATCCAGTATATGAATGTTGATAATTGGTATTTTATATACCCAGGGTGGCCAAGCTCCTTGATAGTTTGAGCCATTTTTCAAAATTTGAAATTTTTCGCAAGCCGCAATTAAATACATATTAAAAAGGTATGCAAAAAATTCCAGATTACAAATTATATCCGTAGCAAGAGTGATACAAATTGTTTCCTCCAGAGCACAATGTCAACTGTCCATTGCAATGACAGTTTACAAATTCAAAATCGGTCTGGAGTCGGTCGATAACGGACGATTACGCCACTGTTTATGTTCGTTCGCGCAGTTTTCGATGAGTCATATCATTCTTAACTTGGACGGAAATGAAATTTGTTACAACGTTGCACTTAGTCTTTCATATTTGTTGTTAGTAATTTAAAAGACATTTTGAAACACATACGGAACAATAATAATTTTTTAAAATATAATAACACAAAAATGAAAAGGGAACTTGGGCACATTTATCGAGAGCCACAAATAATCCTTCAAAGAGCCGCATGTGGCTCGCGAGCCGCAGGTTGGCCACCCCTGTTATGTACTATATACACTGTCCTACTATCTTCTGTAAATAGTGAATTTTACAGATTGTCATTTTCTTACTGCTTGAATTCTTAAATTAATGTACTGAAGGACGTACTCTAAAGAAGTGCTGATATTGATTCTACTTGTAAAATGAAAACCATTCACACTTTTCCTGCAAAATGGTTTATGGAACAAATATTCTCAGTTTATTTTATAAATTTGAGTTATATTTATAAAATTTCCACTTTCACTTTTCCACATTATACTTTATAAAATTTCCATATTACACTTTTCAGTATAATGTGGAAATTTTATAAAGTATAATGATTTTCATTTTATAAGTTATCTCTTCCAGTTTTAATTTGGATTGACTTTTTTAACTGTTAACATCATTTTGTATGATCATAATTTTTTATCAAAAACTTGTTGCTGTACATTTTTAAAAATAATATTTAACAATAAATAACTTTTGACAGCAAATCATACTTTCATACATACTTATAGATATGCACTTATAGATAGAGCATACTTATAGATATGCTACTTATAGATATACCAGCATGCACTTATAGATAGAGCAAAATCAGCACTATATTCCTCAATGTACTCAAAATTCTCACTATTTTTTTTAAAACAAACTTTTATAGTATCAGGAGTACTTTTTATCTTTAATAATGTTTGCCAAAGGTGTAACTGAATAGTTTGTATCAATACAGATAATTTACATTCATATAGCAATACAGTGGTTTTATAAGCCAAAACAAGGGCACACATCAGAGCATGCTCTTATAAGCAAAGCATAATATTTATTTAAAATGCAAAACGAGCAATTTTCATTTATAAGTGCATCCTGTTATTTATGTGGAAATACAGTATGTAGATAACTGATAAGTGTTCAATAAAAATATTTTAATCTTGTGAATATATTTTAACATGGCTTTTTAGGTCTAATCTTTTAATGTATTAACATTTCAAATAGAATTGTTTATTATTATAGTGATATTTTGATATATGAAATATAACTATTAAGTTTATAAAATCTCTTTAATATAATAGAATATAATCATTGTCTTCAGTACAGTCAGTTCTCAGTTTATCAATCATTTTGATCTGTAAATATCTTTGTTTCCACATTATCTGCTATCACATTATTGTATATCAGTGCTTGAATTGTAAGTGTGGTAAAAGGCATGCTTTATCAGCTAAGATGGCAAACCATTTGCCATGAGTATATTTGCAATTATTTTCATAATACGAGGCTTGTCCCAAAAGTTTACAAACTTTCATTAAATTTTAATGAAAGTTTGTAAACTCATTCTGTAAAGTAATAATCATAAACTTTAATTTGCAATTATTCAAAATACAAACCTTTTGAAGAAATACAATGTTTACAATAATCATATAACATGAGAAAAAACTTCATCGAAAATCTTCCTTTGCAATAGTTGAAATAGCTTCAGTTGAAACCTTCTGAATGCCCAACATAATGTCAAACTGCTTTCCTTTCAGTTTTGTTTTAGGAAGCAAAAAATAATTTTACAGTACCAAATCTGGTGAATATGGGAAGTAATCAAAGACTTGGACTAATTTTGAAGTGAAGAAGTTGTGCATGGCAATGCACTTATGAGCTGGAATATAAGAAGTTGCCAGTTGCCTTGCGTTTAGTATTGTGGATGAACCTGATCAATTCTTGCCAGCAAATGATTCGTAATGCTCAAGTAATAGTCTCCATTAACAGTCTAGCTTTCTGGAACAAAGTTCTTATGGATAATCTATCTGAATTGTAGCAAGCGATGAACATGGTTTTTTTTATTTATTTATTTCTATTTTTGCACTTTTTGGTGTTTGTTCTGAGCTTTTCCATACACTGGTGTTTTGTAAGTGAATCATAATGGAGGCACCATGCTTCATCACCTGTTATGATGGTCTTTAAGAAGTTCAGGTCATTATCAGTAGTTGAAATTATATCTTGAGTATACAGAATTCAAGCTTGTTTTTGATCAACATTTAAAGAATGTTGAACAAATTGTGCACAGACTTTGAAGCTTCAAATCTTCAGTCAAAATTTGATACACTTGCAATTTACTAACTCCTGTAATATCTTTGACTACTGTCATTACTACAATCTTTGACTACTCTCTATATACAATAGTCCCTTTTGAGTATATCACTAATCTTTTGTACAGTTTTGTTTGCTCAACTAGTTGATTGCTTCTAACTACACTTGTCATCTTCCAGCAATTCTCTACTTTCCCAAAACTTCATGAACTGCTTGCAAATTGATGTATGGAATAGTGCTTTGTCTCCCCCTGTAAGTCTTTCATACCATTGCTAATGTTTCTGTGAACATTTTGCTCAATTTCCCTCAGAATCTGATACGTTTTGATCCATTGTGATTTTTAAACAAGTATCACAAAAGGTATTGTCGTCATTATTCCTATGGTAAGGCAATCATTAGAGGGAACTTGATCAAACTTACAGATTTTATGAATGAAACTCTGATGAAGATAGTGCAACCTTACTTAGATGGCACCACTAGTACTATCCATATAAAGATTTAAAAACTGTTGGGATAGACCATGTACTACTAGAGGAATAAGTTGTATAGAAAATTAATGAAGATATGTTTTTGCAATATCTATTTATCCTATACGTGTATTGTACAGAATATGCTAAGGTAAAATCTATTTTCAATTTGTTAATATACTTATGTATTAATAATAATGTGTTATATATAATTTTAAAACTACTTATGTAGATTGGCCCTATTGCATCTGTTTTACTATTTAATTTTATTTAAAATAATTACAAGCAAAACATACTCAATTTTGTTCTTGCTGTATTTGCATTCCTTCTCGCCATTCTGGCTATTAAACTACTCCCATCCAGTATAAAAACACATTTAAAAATAACTTCTCAAGTGGACATTCTTTATTTTCAAATATTTTTAATTTTATTAATTAACAGAATGATTATTGTGAATTAAATTTTGATCAGGATGACTGATGTCATTTCTTTGTAACAGAATGGTGCCTAAGCAAAAAAGAACTCTTACCAGATGAGAAAGATATGAAAAACTAAATTTAATTAAATGTCATCAACTTAATTTGCATTCAGAAATGAATATTTAACTTGAAGGTATTTATAAAAACTGTGTACTGAGAAATTTCATATCTTCTATTAATCAATTTTATGTAAATTTCCTTCATTATTTTCCATAGTTATTTATAATTTAATACAAGATACACAATAAAACACCTAAGTCTGTCCAGTAAGAATGTTTTAATGAATTATGAACAAATTAACCTCTTCTTGAATCAGGTCTGCATCAGGTTTAAAGATACAAGTTTTATAATGGAATGTATCAAATGAAACATCTGCAGAATTCAAATTTAAATTGACAAATTTGAAAAGGTAGTATGATTGAACCAATCAGGAGTATGGTGTGATTGGGTAGGAATAGGATGTTAAGGTCAGATCACAGTATGCCTGTTAGGCACACAAAATTTGTTTTTCATCTTTATGGTTAATACAGGCATGGCAGGTGCACTTCGATCACCCTACTCCCCACCCACTCACTCCTTCATACTCCTGATTGGTTCAATTATATTTATTATCCTTTCAAATTTATCAATTTAAATTTTAACAATGTAAATTCAAATTCTGCAGATATGTTCCATTATAGAACTTGTATCTTTATTTTTTTTAAATGTTTGTATTTTGTTAAAATGTTGTTACTGGAAGAACTTAGGCTTTTTGTTGTATAGTTTGTATTATAGAACAGTTCAGTTTGCAGAGAAGTTTTTCTATTTATTTATAATTTAATAACAATATTTTTTACAGGAAACACTTTGCTGAATATAACTAGTTTCTTTAAATATTATATTGATATTAAAACTGTGTTTTCAAAATATGGAGTCTTTTACTCAATAATACAAAGTTCTTTATTGTTTTTCACAGAATTTTAACATTGATAGTTTAGTGAACTATCAGAGTTAGTAGAATATTTACTTTTATATAATAAAAAAGTAAAAATGTATGTTATGAATTTATTTGGATATATGTCATTATAAATCCATTGCTTTTAGTTATTTACTTAAATACCCATTATAATTGCAAAGCATTGACCATATAAATTAAGAATATAGCAAAATTGACACATTAGCTAACATAATTTTCATTAATAAAATAGTTATGCTTTTTGTTTTTAATTAAATATAAATCAGCAGTGTGGCCCACAGGCCAACTTTAGCCTCTGAACATATCTAATCTGGTCCTTGGTCATTATCAAAATATTTATGTAGTAAATAGTCTGCAGAATAATACATAATCATATAATTAGATTTATTGTAACTTTTTATTATATGCTAATTCTTGTTGTGTTGCCCAATATATATACTTTTTGCAGTTTTGACAGTTTTTGTCATATTTTTCAATCAGCTGGCTGAGTGCAATTTACTTGTTAACCAGGGATGGCTATAGATCGTAAAAACACAGAAAATTTGACTCTCGTACATGCAGAGTACATTTAACATTTTTATTTGACCTGTCATTTAAAAAGGTTGCCCGAACCTGATTTAAATCATACAGTTTGCAGATACATATACATTGTATGGATTGTTGCACACACAGATTTATAAGAATAATTGAAAATATATTTGATGATTATTATATAATTTTATTAAAACTGAATGTAAATAAATCAAAATTACATAAATTGAGAACTGCCTGTAACTAGTAAAGTTTTTTTTAATCTGAATACAAGATTTACATTAAAAATTTTTTTGTACAGTGAGACATGAAGGTATTTTGAAACTTTGGCAAGGTGTAACTCCAGCTATTTATAGGCACTTAGGTCAGTATATTTATTTTGTAATATTATGTAAAATAATTGTTTTAGTGTACACTGATTCATTATTATTAATTGGTTTATTATAACTACCACAATTTTACATAATTTCTGTAAAAATAGTAGTAGTAACAGTAATAATTTCTATTTAGATTATTAAAAATTGTGTACTGTTTTATAATTTGAATTAATAAAATGTTTGTCAGTTTTTATTATTGTTTACTTTGCTAAATAACTGTTTACTCTATATACTTGGAATCTGTCATTATAGCATTCTTCAAAACTTTGATGATTAATACTGTAAACCTACATAAACAAATAAATAAACCATGCAAAAATAGGAATGATGATGTGTATTATTTATGTTAAAATCCTGATTTTCTATTGTTAAGCTAAACTTGTTTAATTTGGTTTCCACCATTTTGTATTCTTGAGATGCCACTGATACTTAGATAGACCTAATGGAATAATTAATGCTTTCAAAGTTACTTGTAGAATTTTCTAATAAGATATGGTTATAAATTCTAAACTTAATTTTGAATGCTTTTAAATTTTCTTCAAAATTATGTTTCATTAGTTTTGATTTGATACATGATTATAGATTCACTTGAAGATAGTTTTGAGCAACTTGAAAACATTTGAGATATAATTTTCAAAGCATTCTATGTAAACATTTAATTAAAAATTCAAAAATTAAAACAACAAATTTTCAAATTGCTTCAAACTTACATATCAAATTATCTCAAAAAATGTTTTTACATGTTTATTTTATTTTATAGTTTATACTGGATGCAGAATGACTTTATATGAATTTATAAGGGAAAGGATCCTTAAGAGAAATTCTGATGGGACCATTAGTCTATGGTAATCTTATTATTATTATTATGATTTGCAAATATAGATATAATTTGTTTATATTCAGGTTTAAATTTAGCTTCTTCAAATGAATTAAAATTTTATTAATACTCTTTATTTAAAAATTCAATTTTAAATAGCAATTTATTTGTATGTTATTAATAAAGTAGGGAAGGAATTAAAAAAGAAAAAAAACATCAATATTAGGAAAAGGAAAAAATTTATTTATAATAATAAATATGAAAAAGTAAAAAAAAAAAACAAAACTTTCCTGATTGTAACAGGAAAAAACAATTTAGTGTAAGAAAAAAATTATATAGTTATGAAATTATTTATAGACTATATTATTTATAGTAATAAATTTAAGACTAATTCATAAAGATATGTAATTAATTTAAATTTTAATGTATCAAATCTCCATGTGAAATTTTAATAAAGTTAAAGGTGTGTTTATTGGGTTTAGTAATGATTTAATAAATATCATAATTTTAAATTCAGAAATTGTTTATTGAGTCTTGTATTTAAATGATTGATCATTGTCTATATTTTAAATTTTCAATTGAGTATATCTTATACTCAATTGAGTATTATTTTATGATATAAATTACTTTAAAAATATAAGACTTGTTTGATGTAAAGAACTCCCAAGAATTAAGATGTTTAATATTTTACTAACTGTATAAGTAGTTTTTAACATTTTGAATTTTATATAGTAAATATTTTCAGTTTTTGTCATTGAGCATTTTGTATTTATGTTATGTTATTGCTAATGCAAGATTGCAAGATTATTGCTAATGAATTGTTAAATTTTCTATCAATATAAAAATTGCTACAATTGTGAAGAATTTATTTGTTTATTATTTTAAAATATATATATATTTTATTAAACATTACATTTAATAGGAAAGCTGTTTTAGGCGGGAGTATTGCAGGAGGTTTAGGTCAGTTTGTGGCAAGCCCAACAGATCTGGTCAAAGTACAGATGCAAATGGAAGGACAAAGACGACGACAGGGGATGCCTCCTAGGTGTGACAATTTATCTTTTATCATATTTAATTTCTAAGTTTAGAATCATACATAAAGCAATTTTTTACTTAAAATATTTATGTATTATTTTGTTTTCTTAATATTTAATTTATTTATAAATTTTATTTATTAATTTATATTGATTTCTGCAGATTTTATTATGTAATGATTCAATAGCAATATTTTTAGTTTGAAAATATAGTAATTTAGTAGAAAATTAATTCAGTAAATTCTAATATTTAATTATTTGCTTACTCATTTTTATTATTATTCTAGCTTTATTTGACATGTACAATGGTTTTTATGAATTATTTTTAAAATTAAGCAAGTTCTCTAAAATATCTGAATGTTGACATAAATATTGATGAAATCAAACTATTATGTTGAACTTCTTGTATGATCAAAAAATTTTTACTTATTTCATTTCATTCATATTAAAAGAAGGAACTTTTTTATTTGGTTAGTAATATTTTGTTGCTCATTCTTTTAGTCTAATTTTACTGATGTTGCAACCATTTCTCTTGGAAACAATATAAAACACTTGTCAAAGTATCACGTATTTTGATTTTAATACAGTAGTTATTTATTTTTATTTTGTATTCATAATTTAAAGAAATAAAATTGTTAATTCTCTGTTCTTGATGTTATCAATACCAAAATTATAAATTTATTTTGGAAAATATTAAAATTTATGAATTTTAAATATTTTATGACAATAATTTTAACTTCTTATGTATTTATATATTAAATTATTCATATGTAATCTGAATTAAATAAATAAGCATTTTTAGTTTATCAAAAATTATACATGCAAGACTAAAGTCAATCAATGAGAAATGGGTTAATACTTAAGCAAAATAACAACACTAACACAATTATCCAGCAAAAGAAAAAGAACTTTGTTACAAACAAGTGCATTCTTCTCTGACTGCACAACTAATACTCAATTCTCGACACAAAAACCGTTAAAATGCAGCCTTTTTATTCACATTTTTGAACATTTTTGGCTGGTTTGAATGGCCGAAAACATTCGAAAATGTGAATATAAAGGCTGCATTTTAAAGGTTTTTGTGTCAAGGTTTGAGTACAAACAAGTGCTTTCATCTATCTAAAATGGACATCTTTAGGTTTAAGCAATGGAATATAGAATAGAATATTTAATTAAAAATAACAAAGTTGGAATCAAGCATGTTTTAAAAAGATCAACACGTGGATAATTCATGCATATCTGAAAGCATTTGTTTGCGGTAAAGTTTTTACTTTTGCTGGATGTTGGTGTTAATGTTGTTATTTTGCTTTATTATACATGCAGCAGATATGTCAAAATTGAAATAGTATTATACTTGTTTAGAAATAAAAAGTAAAAATTAAAAACAAACAACAAAGTATTTTTAATTTTTATTTTTTCAGTACTTGTGTTGTTGTTACTGTTAGTTTTCATTATTTATTGCACATATATAATCTAATATAGTTAATAAAATTAAAAAAAAAATAGAATTATAAATTTTTAATGAAATAATATATATAATTTACTGTTTACTTTTAATCAACTTTCAATAATAAAAATGTTTATTTGTGAATTTTCATATTTAGTTAAAAATTTGAATAAAATTTTATATTTAACATTTTATACACATTTTTAATTTAATATTATCACCAATAATAATAATAAAAGTATAATTGATTTATATACAGTTCTACAAAAAAATAATGGAATCTGTACATGTATTTAAGTTTAATCTTGATCCAAGATGATTTCTGTAATTTTTGTTTCTTTTCAAGAAGGATAAAAGAATAATTATTTTCAGATTACTTACACATAGCAATAAGCTAATATAAATTTATAAAAGTATGATTGAAAGAATTGCTGTCTTCTAATATTAAACTAGTCTATATATATAAAAATGAATGTGTGTGTGTCTGTGTGTCTGTCTGTCTGTCCTTCATGCATTACCACACCGTTTATCCGATTGCCATGAATCTTTGGGAAGTTTTTTAATACACTCTGTTTCTGTCATAGTACATTTATCCTATGATAGATGGCACGATCCTACAATAGAGTGTATACGAGTATTTCATCGTGAGATCGATGGATTTCAAATTGTGAAGACTATTTCCCCCTCCAAAAATTATCTCTATACATGCATTTGTCAACTGTTATTTACGATATTTGTAATAATTTTTGTTTAATCACTTTATTTCAACTTTTTTTTTGCTAATTATGTATTCGCTCGAACTTCGTTAAAACCTTAACTGTACCCCGAACAACAACCGAAGTTGTAGGAAGAAATTCGCCTATTTTACCGATCTAGGTATCCCCCTTTTCCAAATTTTAATATCGACTCAAAATAATTTAAAAAGACAAATTACAATAAAACAGTTTATTATCCAACTATCAGAAATTTCACAACATGCCAAGGAAGAGAAGAAAGAGCAATTAAATAATTAAGATTATAAAGGATTAAAAAATATATATATAAAAATGGGGAATATCGCACTTCTGACAATTGCTGCAAGTGTGTGGGCTAAATTTGGAGAATCTGTGCTTCTTGCATGGACAACTGTATGTGGCCAACTCATGTGTCGGAAAACCTTCTGATTTATTCGTGTATGTACCAGACGGAAAAACAAAAAATATCGTGTATCCACAAGCACTCCAATAAATAAATAAATAGAATTGAAACGACACTTTGAAATGTTTTCCCAATGAAAATGAATAATAGTAAGTTTTAATAAAAATGATAAAATGTAAATTGAATTTTATCATAATGAGTTTGCTTGAATTTCCTTTCTTCTGAGATCGCAGTAATGCGCGATGGGTAAGCTAGTATATATATATAAATTAAAATTTTAACAATAATACAAATGTGCAAGCAATTTCTACAAGAAACAGTTCTGTTATCTTTAGATATAGATTTTCAAAATTAGAATGGTTTTTCTGGATAGTTAAACATCTGAGTTTGAGTAGAATTATATTCAAAAAACATAGAATAGAGACTTTAAAATGTAAATTCAAACATACAATATTGTAATGAATAAAATGTGAAAATTAAATATGTGAAGTTGCCAGTTTGGGGAAGGGGACTTTGTTTGATTCTATGTTGATTAGACTTAAGTCAAAATGAATGAGGTATAAGGGATGGTATGTGAATGATGGTGGATGTACTGAGGCAAAGTACCTTTACAAATGATACCTGTTTATTTGGAAATAAACTGGTAGCTTACAATTTCATACAAAAGATACTCCTCTCAAACTCTGATCTAAAAAGTTCAGTTTGTTTCAACAAAGTCCTTTGATATGTTGGTGGCCCTGAGGCAGTGTTGTTATTAAGTCTGGAGACAAGATGTGTGATTTTAGTCTGAGGATGGGTGATGATGCTTATGGTTCAGCAAAGACAGATGCAACAGCACTCCAATGACAGCAGTGATAATAGCAGGATACAAGTACAAAATAATGGATACACAGGGTCACCTCATAAACATGGGAGAGGGAAAGCTGCCACTTGTCCTTGAAATTTGGAATTTTTAAATGATATTGTTCCCAAATTTCATGCTTTGATTGGTCCTGATTTCCTCTTGTTGCTTCCTGATTGGTTCCCTCCTTTGTTTTCAGGTGGAAATAATCAGATCAAGTCACAAGAAAAGTTAATCTTTGGTATTCAACTCAACGCTGACTAGGAGATGTGGATGGAACTTGAAACTGTGGTTGTATTTTAGATTATAGTTCCTGTTCTAACATCTAAGAATTTAAACTACAATACATGATGTTTTTCTTTTGTTAAACTGTTCAGTTTCCTGGTTCAGTTAAACTCTGCCATTTTTATACAAGTGTCAGAGTCAAAGTTCGAACTCTCTGGTCTGAAGTTGATTTCAGATACTAACACATGTTCAAGTTGCACTTGGAACATTGTTTACATTTGCATTGCTTTGTGTCAGATTTCCTTTTGATATTAAAATTTTTTTAATGCATTTAACAGGAGGTTCATTTTAAAAATTGGCTGTCCAGTTATGATTTGGCATTCGAATTTATTAACTGATGTTATTAATTGTGTAAAACTTAATAACTTCATTTTTATGAATGTATATTTGGATAGAGCTATATTAGCATTTAGAATATATACTGTATAGAAGACAGTCCTTACTACGATACTGGTATAACAACAATAATTACACCCAGATATCAAAAACCATTTTTGCTGTTTTTTGGTAACTTTGCTGGTATAATTCATAGATTTGCCATAAAAATATTGAAAATTGTATTGATTTGTTTTAACTAAAAAGTAGATATTCTATAAATGTTTATACCTATGTTTTGATTCCACTGATAAATTTATAGCAAAGTTAATGCTTCAGAATTAATTTTTGTGCATTAAGGAAAAATTTAAACTAAAAATATTGTACAGTAGAACCTCAAAAACTTGGCTCTCGATAACCCGGCACTCCGGATAACTCGGCCACACCCTGGCAGGGCAAAAAAATCCTTAGTTAATTAATTTTCATTATAGACAGCTTTATAAAAGTATAAAAGCTCTCATAAAGTATTTTTCTGAGGTTCTTCTGTATTTTTCTGAGGTTTTTCTGAGGTCTTATCAGGTAAATTACTGTACACAGTGTATTCATTAATTTTCATTTTCATGTAGTAAAGGCTCTATGCCTTCATAAAGTATGTACTTTTCCTTTGTTTAAGGGTATTTGGGCGGTTTATTCTCTGTTGTATTCTCCAGCAAACAATACATACAAGTACAGTACACTATTTTCTGAGGAAACACACATACTTATCCTTTTTTAATCCCATTCCCGATAACCCGGCATTTTCACAAACTCGGCCACCCTTCGGTCCACATTAGGCCGAGTTTTCGAGGTTCTACTGTAATTACACTTTTAATTATTCTTTGAATTTAAACAAAAACAGAGGTCATTAAAAGAGAATACTATGAATATTTTGGTATAACATTGTAATGAAAGTTAATTTTGTATAAAATTTGCATCATTTATTGGAC